AAAATCAAGTACAGTCCTCATCATTACGTACTGTCGGGGCGGTTCAGTGCGGCTGCGTTTGGCGCGGTGCCAAACCCGCTCTCCACCAGTATTTAAAGCGAGCAAATGATATGACTGTATTATATCCTCCGTATTACTCGTTTTCTACCACTTTTTGTCGCATACGCGTTTCAACAAAAGGCTGAGAACGGCTTCAACAGTGTGCACACTCATACTGGCTGACACGCCCCACCGGTCCGCAATGATGAGGACTGTACGCATCCACGCCTACCCGATCTCAGGGATTTCGAGTACATATAGGCGGTTGTTGGCACGATGCCAACGTTAAACTCGTCCAAAAATGCTCGTTCAAGGCCGTGAGGAGCAAAGGTTCTATAGTGAATTATGCAAAGCTATGAGTTCAGCGCTGTGAATCCCCTAAGTAATTTACAGAGCGCTCTTGCTTACGAGCTACGCAAAAATCTTCTCTGCAACTTATCCTACTGCAGTTTAACATGTGTTTGGCCCCTACCCTCCCGGAGGGATCTGGTAGGGCTCACAAGACTCTGCTGAGATCGACAGCTTGCATTTTCAGGGATACTTCCCATCCGACACATGCACTAATAGTTGAACAATGTGTACCTGCCTACACTTACCTTTGGCATTCCAAGCTCCGACCAAGGCGATTAGGCCGAAAAGTAAGCCGTGTAAAAGCCGAGTTGTGTCAATATTTTAGCTCTGGTTCAACATACATAAAAGAAGAAGACCACAAACGATCGATGACTGCTGGCATCTTCGCGATGAAAGTAAGTAAAAGTACAGCTCTGATTTATTACGAAGCGCATATAAACGTTAGTATGGAATAGGCTCAAGATCCTTGTTAAAATACCCGCCGTGATGACTTTTGTCCAGTTTCGAGAACGACTTGAGAAGATCTGCTACGGACTGATCAATCTGAAGGAATTCAAAATCAGTGTGCAGAAAGGAAAACCAATATTTAATATTGTTCGACTTGAGGGGAGAGGCATTTTGCACTTCTGCTAATTATTTTGCTGTTGTTGCTTGTTAAACTCCACTTCACACCTTGGTGAGGCCTATAGATGCTTGTCTAGTGCGTACGACGTCCTGCTCAATAGGAATTCACAGGGTCCTACAAGGTGCCTCGCAAAAGTCGATGGGAGCCGGTAATATGCCCCCAACAAGCCGAACTGCGCCTCAATATTGCAGCTTCTAGTCAATAAATGCTTACTGTAAGATGGGCGTTTGGACCTCCCATGTCTGTCTGTACCCAGCCAGGACAGAATAAGTATATGTTGCGAGCTCCAAGATCGATCGCCATCGTCTTCATCAGAGAGTTCAGTGCACTCTGGAAGAATTGGCAAGTTAGGAAATTCATGGGAACAAGTACGTATGAAAACTGGTTACCTTGCTAACACTGTAGGCCAGCACTTGCTTCTCTCCTGAGCCCATTGTATTGTTAGCGATCGATCCAAGACCGGATGAAATGTTGATGATAGCCGATCGATTCATGGAGAACTCGTCCGAAGAACCGTGCTCAGCAGCTTTGCGCAGAAGAGGTAGGAATATCTGCAACTGACGGATTTGGGCTAAATCAAAATGGTTTAGGCAACGAAAGCGCTAACCTGAGTGAGTACAGCGACGCTGGCCGTGTTGATATTGAAGTTCTTGATAAGATCAGCTCGATTCGGCTCCTGTTTGTACAGTATTTCACATAGGCACCAGCGTTATTGACAAGTACGGTCAGTCCTTGATCGCCGACAATCTTCTCCACCTCAATTTCAACTTTTCTATTTCTCCATAGCAACTTCATTCACTGTTAACTATAAATGTGACTCACGTTCCATGAAACAAAATAGAAATGTAACCTGATTTATGATAGTATATGATAGTAGCCTAGCCTATTCAAATTTTATTATATTTGAGAAGTAGGGGCATTTTCCTGGTTCCTATTGATAATGGTCTCTGTGGAGAACTATAAACTTTTGTGAAGCTATGCAATAGCACAAGCTTCATTTGGACATTGCAAGCGTCCAAGAGCGGGACACGTCAGTGACTGGGAAACTTCCGCAAAATACGACCCCTTTGTAAAAGACGACCTCCAAATTTCCTCCTCTGGTATTGCCCACACTTCCTCATTTCCCATCCTACCTAGCCCCAGGTTCCCGAATTTTCCCAACTTCCTAACTTTACTCCACTTCTGCACGAAATTTTTTACTAAACATCCTCCCCTTTCCCAAGAAAACTGCTGTCGAGCGGAAGAGAGGGGGGAGGGGAATCATGTTCTCAAAACAAAAAAGACATGAAAGATATTAGAAGGATCTAGAGCGGTCAGAAACTGGAAAGATTCTCATCAAACTTTTCCGAATGCAAACATGACCCCTCCCTCCAGCATCTCTGCCCTTCCCTCCCCCCCACTGAGGACCCCCAACGTACGAGGTGCCGTGGTCTGCACCTCTCGATCCTCGAACTAGGTGAGAGTTGTAATCTAACAGAAGCTAGCAAAAGAAACTAAGCAATCAGAGAAATGCTCCCCCCCCCCGCTGTTCGGCTCAGGTGACCGCGGAGGAGGCCGCTGTCACCTGAGCCGAACAGCGCCGTGTATTATGGACCGTAGTTGTTTTGCACCTCAACCAACGGGTCAGCGCTCCTCATTGAATGTGTGGTCTACGCTTATAGTATGGGCAGAAATATGGGCCGAGGCAGTCAGCTATGGGAACATGTGAGGGGGATGGACAAGACAATCGCAATTCGTCGCGCCACCGTGTGCGACCATACCCAGCAAATCTCCCAGCAAATCCTTATTTAGCGGAGACATGATTCGATGACGAGCGATATCGGTCTTTATAGTCAGTTCAACATTCAATCAAAAAACCCACAAGGCAACTCGTCCCTCGCCACGCCCACCAGCGCGGCATATGAAGGACCTCTTCTCACATACAGGACGTACAAGACAGAAAACACACTGATTGGGAGTCTTCGCCCACTGATTCAGCGCGGAATGTGTATTTCATCCTAGAAAGAAAAACTCACCTCAGCGTATGCCTTCCTTAATGGAATCATCGCAGGTCACTTCAAGC